GATCGCCTAAATATCGGGCTATAATACGGCTAATTAAATGATTGGAATAAAGTAATTTGACACTAGAGGTAGACGTTAGGCGCCATCTCTTAAGTAAATTAATAATTAAATAAATAAATCAATAAATAAATTTAGAATCTTCTGGAATAAAAGAACTGGCCCGGGGCGGGACTCGAACCCGCAGCCTCCGCTTGCCGTGCGGCGCGCTTACCAGTTACGCTACCCAGACCCTCGAGCTAGTCTTCGCTTCCAGAAGTATATTAGATTTAGATATAACCTTACTTGGTTAAATACATCACTGACTGGGGACGACTCCTTCGCCCACGGCCATAGCGGCACTCAGCCAGCTAACGCAACACCCGGCGAGGTATATATATATATAAATATCAACAACTCATAGCCCGGGTATTTATTTATTTAATTTTAATCATTAATTTACTTAAGAGATGGCGCCTAACGTCTACCTCTAGTGTCAAATTACTTTATTCCAATCATTTAATTAGCCGTATTATAGCCCGATATTTAGGCGATCGTTTGGTGATGTATTTACTACTCGGGCTATGAGTTGTTGATATTAATAAAATAATAATTAAAACTCCTGGCATTTACACCAAAACCAAATTAAAATTAAAATCAAATGAATTGAAAATTAAAACATTTTTAAAAACTGTTTAAAAGTTGTTTTGAAATTTTCAAATTGTAAATCAAATTAATTTTTAAACATACATTATTTGTGTGTGTCAGTGATGGAATATTTTGCTTTTAATGTGTAAACAGATAAAAACTATTAAAAAATAATATGAAAACTAATACAAAATATGTATTCTGTATAATACCAAATATTCAAAAATCAAACTTAAAGAATAGTTGTTTGGGAACAAACGAATAGTCTTCTCTTCAACTCCAAGTATGAGTCAAAAATGAAGTCTTTTTGTGTCTCCTATTCCTACACAAAGACCTTTCTTTCCCTTTGTTAACCCTTTCCACAAATTTTTGCCAAGTCCACAGAAATTAACAGGTTGTTTTTTTGAGGAACAAATTATAGACCCCCACCTGTGACCCGGTGTGACCTATTTATACACTGCTTCCTTTTAAAGTGTTGATTTCAGTTTCAGTAGGGATGGAACATTTTGCTTTTAATATATATATATGTTACTGTGAAAGACCGAAATTAGAGAATGTCGATATTCTCTAGTGAATGTCGACACATACAAAATACATCGGTGAAAGACTGATTATTTGGTTATATTATTATACATTCAAACAATCGCCAGTGTATGTCGACAAGCACAGATAAGCTTTGGTGGAGGTCGCAACGACACCTGAAAAGCCGATGTCGAGGAGATAGTCTGTCGCCAAATCCTTTGTGGGTAGCCAGAGGTAGGACAAGGTCGTACCTCTTTTCCCGACAATGGTTTGGTGGAAATCGCCCACTTTGTCACTGGATGGTGTTTTTGTTCTTTTGATCCCATGAGGTGGGGATTTGTTAGTCAGGTCGAGTGGCAGAGGATGAGAGGGGGCGTCGGTAAGGCGTCGGCGATATCCAAATAAAAGACACCATTAACAGATCAGTTCATAATTTGTAAAGAAAAGTTACTTTTCATACATGAGATTTCTTCTCAAGAAATATTGCCGAGAGAAGCAGCTATAGCTAATTCGAAAAGTGGAGGGCAAGGCTGTACACGCTGTCATTGCAAAAAGAAGTGTTCCACGAATAAATGCAGTTATAAAAGCAAGGGACTCAAAGTGACATAACAGTTTAAGTTATTGCAACAAATAAGATTGTAAACCATTAATCACATAATTTCTGTGTATGTGTAATTTTGTGTATTATTTTTCTTTTCTGATTAAGAATGTACTGTTCGTTTTAGGTTCAACAGTTTATTTACATGTGCTGTTTGTTACTTAAGCTTTCTCCTATTTTGACATATTAAAAAGTTGCATTTTTGTCTTAACGTAATAAACATACTTTTATTCAACATTCATCATCAGTGCATGCTGAATGTCGACATTTGCCGGTGTAAATGAGAAATAATGATATTTAGCAAATATTTCATACATATATGAAATGACTGTGTGAATGCTGATATTCACCGGAGAATGTTGACATTCGCCAAATATCAGTCATTCACAGTAACATATATATAATTAATATATATATATAAATACTTTGTTTATCAGAAATGTAGCACTATTCTTAGATTTTATAGAAATAATTTTGGCATGTAAAGACTGAATGTTTTCTAAAATAATTTGACATTTTGTATTACAGGTAGGCCTCCTACAATGCGGTACCTTTACAATGCGTTTTCACTCCAACGCAGTTGGAAAAATGCAGAAATTTTCTTACAACGTGGTTTACGGTATTTAAAAACGAATTATCTTTCACACAACAGAAAAATCGCAACGGATCACATAATATGCACCGCAGTTCGGTGTACAGAGCTAAATGTCCTCGAAAACAGCTGTTTTCAAGGACACTGTCCACGTTGACGTGTTATTCCCATGAAAGTTTCAGGGAAGACCGGTTTCTAGACAGATGTGCATCAGTTACCATAAACACTCAAATACATCACTGAATTTTTGATAATTTATACTCTTTCAATAGGTGGGGACTGCAAAAGTGGTCCAAAATACAGTATAAACTTCTATTGGGTATATATTTTTAACAACATAGTGAAGGGAAGTTATTTTTTTTTTATTTTTACTGTCCACAAAACTGCTTGAGAAAATTTTAGCCATAACAATGTCGAATGAAAAGAAAGGACCATCGTTAAAAAGGAAATTGATATCTCTTCAAACAAAGATAGAAATTTTGGATCGAATTAAAAATCAAGAGCGGATAGATGATATTGGTAGGCATTTTAATTTAAATGAGTCTATTATTCGATCGATTAAGCAATAGTAAGAAAAGATTAGGAATTCAGTCGCATCCGGATCATCTATTCTTGCGAAAAATGTTGCTCGTCCGAGAGCACCTATAATGAAAAGCAGTCTCACAAGGGAG